TATATATATATATATATATATAGTAATGTAATAAACACAATTGAACACATATGAACATAAAATGAGTCATCACCACAGAAGCTGGTAGGGAGTCATCACTACGAATATTGCTAGAGAGTCATAACCATAGAATGCTAACCTTCAGCAAAGACAAAACCCTTGTTTATACAGCAGGTTTCAAGCAGAGCAAGTTGAAAGACTGAAAGAAGATTCTTTTTCATACCTGGTACATGGTACACACCTTCAAGTTTTAGTTCCCTGTTATTGTCTTATGGGCAAAACACAACATTGCCAATGTGGTGCAATCGAAAACTTGGAATTATCAGCTATCACTACTACTTTACTGCCTTCATAATTTCTGGTTTCTTGCAATGCCCTCCTGTCATGTGATTAGAGCATCCATAATCTATTATCCATTCTTCAAATTTGTTGCCACAACTCTCTATTGTGGCGTTAAATGCCACCTCTTTTTGGTCTTGAGCATAAAAAGCTTATGCGTCCCATGTTTCTTCTACTTGAGAAGTTGCAGCATTTCCTTCCTCAGTGTTTTCTGAACGACAATCGCATGCCATGTGACCCCTACGCCCACAATTATTACAACTAAAAGTAAATATTTTGTGGGAACCGTTACTCTTTGTCTTATCTTCAGAAGATTCTCCTTTATCAAACTTACAACTCGTCTTTCCATGTTCATGATGCTTACTCTTGTCTGAATTCTTTTTAGACTGTGATTTATGCTTCCCTTTACTTATCTCTGCGTAAAGTGCTTCATCATCAATCCTAACTGTGGCTCCTCCCATCTGCTTCACTAAGGCTTCCCGTCCCGCCAAGAGATTCCGAAACTCAACTAGTGAGGGTTGAGTTGCCCAACCTTGAATTGTTGTTACGAAGCTTCTAAACTCTGGTTTGAGACCATGTATAATGATTCTTTTCATACTCGTCTCACTGATTTGAGACTGAGGATCAAGCTCTGTAATTTCTCTACAAGTAGACTTCACCTTGTGGAAAAACTGAGGAATTGTCATGTCTCGTTGAGATACAGACAAGAGTTCATTCTCGAGTAACTATAGTTTTGTATCGTTCTTCTTAGAGAATACAGATAACAGTGTATCCCATACCTCTTTTGGTGTCGACATATCCCTGATATGATCGAGTATATCTTCTTCAACGGTTGTCTTTAAGACGAACATTGCCTTGCCTGCCTTGATCTTCCACTTTGGTAGGTTTCCATTGTTGTCTTCTGCCTTAGGTTGGTCTGTTTCGGCCCCTTTCACAAATTCTCACAGATCATGTCCTTGCATATAAGACATGATGCAAATAGACCATGTGTTATAGTTCTGCTTGTTAAGGTTCTTTACTCCACCAACAACTTGTAGATCAGCCATTGACACGAAAGCTCTGATACCAATTTGTTAACCTTTAGCAAAGACAAAACACCTGCTTATACAACAGGTTTCAAGCAGAGCAAGTTTTAGAAGAAAGAGTAACAGACACACAAAAGTCTTTTCTTCATATATCAAAAATAACGACAACTACATAGCATAAAAACAGAAATGAATAAGGGAAACTGCTGCTACCTAGAAAATAGGAAAAAGGCTATGAAAAAAAACTACCCACTAGCTTGACTAATTCAAAAAAACAAGTACCGAAACATAAAGGAAATAACTAAAGGATAAAAGAATGCATGCACATGACTGGTTGACCAAGTTGATGTTGTTCTCTTTTAACATAGAATTTGCTAGGGAGTCATCACCACGAATTTTCTCTAGGGAGTCATCATTTGCTACAATGATAGGCCTACGAAAGATGCTATAGATCCACTACAATTTCAACGACATAAATGCAATGGACTAGCTACAGAAGGAGGAATACAAAATTCGTAATGGATGCACGACTACGAAATTCATAACGGAATCTATCTATGGAAAGTGCGACGGAATACCCTCTCCTACAGATTTCATTCCAGTGTCATATTTGCAAAGAAATTACAGTTTCGTTGTAGACCCTTCGCTAGGCGTTTTTAGGGATGAAATTGTTAGATTAGGTGTCTAAGCCAATAACAAAACTGATATACATTTGAATTAAAAGTAGAGTCCTTTTTGGTTGCCCTCAAAACTAGTAACTAACAGAATGACTTTTTGGAGAGAAATGTTGATTTATTATTTTATTAGAAGATTAATAAATAGCAATAAATAATTTATTAATATATTATGAGTATAATATATTAATTAGAAATAGTATTATTTAATTATTAATTAATCAGAAACTAATTGAAATTAATTTTGAGATTAATTGGATTAGTTAAAAGTGCAAGGACCTAAATTGTATTTGTTCAATAGTTGAACAAGAGAAGGATTCTAGAATAATCTAGGTATGGGCGGAAATTTGAAGCGTCCTTAGGTTTCTAGATTAATCCTTAAGGGTATTTAGGAATATGGATAATTACCTAATTTGATATAATAGTATTATATTCAAATTAGGGTTATCCAACGTTTCTTTGTTCAACTACATAAGGAGCCTTAGGGCTCATAATTTCGGCCACTCCTTCTTAAAAAGAGAAAGAAAAAAATCACTACCTCCCTCCCCTATCCTCTCAAGTCTTCTATTGCTAGGGTTTGAGTACAAACCATTAGAGGCATGAAATTTCTGGTGCTTGCTTTCTGAAGCTTGTTCAACAAGGAATTGTTTGATTATTTACTACAATAATCAAAAGGTATGTAAACCCTAAAACCCTTTATGAATTTCGAAAATAGTAGAGTAATCCTAGGTTTCTTGATGTTCAATTGTTTGTTGCAATTAATAGAGAAAACTTAGATCAAATAGGTTGCATGTGAACATATGGTTACATTTTTCCACCACATATTTTTTTTAACCTGTAAAACCTATCAGTGTTATCAGAGCCTTTGTTTTCAATTGACCTTGCACAATATTGAATAGATCAAAATTAGGGTTTATATAAATTAAACCCTAAGGGAGGCATTATCAAAAATTGCTAGGGTTCTAGAAACCCTAGCCTCCACCCTTAGAGTTTTCGAAATTTGCTAGGGTTCTTGAAACCCTAGCCTCCTTAACCTTTTTTAAAAATTAGGGAGCCCTTTTAGGGTTTATGGTGTTTCCTTAATCCTTATATTAAAAGCCTTATAATTTGAATAATTAAAACCTGATAAACCCAAACCCTAGTTTCGAAAATTATGGGGTTTGGGTTAGGATTAAAATTGAATTATTTTATCAATTGTTTAATTGTAAATAATTATTTAATCCATAATGATTTAATTAATTTAATTAATTGATTAATTGAAAGATAAAGATAAATCATATCTAGTTTAATATTAATTAATTAAAACACTTAATTTAAATAATTAATATTTAAACTTCGTATTTTGAAAAGTTTAAAATATACCTTATATATATTATTATTAAAAGTTAATTACTATATGTATATGACAAATCAGTCAAATCGCTAGTACGCCTTTTTCATGAAACCATGCTATAAAGAAGGTATAAGGAAGCGGCCTATAAAATGGTCATTGAATGAGTGTCCATTTTTACCCACCAATCTCCTGTATGGTAGAGGGTCATTAGCCGAACGGGTTTGATAGGATATAATCTCATTAATAAGTATAATGATATAAAAGTACTAGAACCTTCTTTTAGAAATCTCACTCTAGTTACTTTAGGAATAATGTGAAAAGTATGCTAATTCATGAACACGCACATCATA